AAAAAAAAAAAAAAAAAAAACCATCTTAGATAGTATGTTGAATGTCTGTTCTTAGAGTATATCTGTTAGGAGATGGGGGGGATGGTCCCTGGAGCCAAAGATTTTTATTAGCAATTAATGGCATTCTTCACTTTTTATGTACCTGATCTGCACTCTGCAGGCTGTGGTCTTCAAGAATACTTGACCACAGCTTCTAGCTTCTAAATTACAGGGAATATCTTCAGATGGCATAAACTCACCTTCTCCCCAGACCATTATCTTTCACACAATTCTGAAAGGAAGCAGAGTATTAATGCAAACAGAAGGAGCTCTAGGTAGTACCAAAATCACACTAACCTGGTCGCCCAATAGTGAAACAGCTAGAAGAATCAAAGAGGAGTTTGAAAAGCTGAGCAGAATCGTGAGACTTATATAGTCTTTACAGGCACACCACCCTGATTATGAAAATATCCTTTTGTTGGCCATTTAAGGGTAATTATTAATGGTTTTTGACACCCAGGCTTAAGACTGCATGAACTCCATCCATAATTAAGGGCAAGATCCAATAAAGGTCCATCTCGACAGTTGCTTCATGGTTCAGAGTCCTAAGTGTAAGCTTGAATTTTTTTCCCCCTGAGATTATGTTTTCCCTCCAATGTATAATTACGATATTTGCTGACAGTTCACATTTCATAAACTTAGATATAGAGGATTATTTTCAAGTTAGTTGCATATTTAGACTTTAAAAAATAACTTTCTTCATATCCAAAAAAAAAAATGCTGCCCTGTTCAGTAGCTCATGCCTGTAATCCCAGCACTTTGGGAGGCTGAGGCAGGAGGATGGCTTGAGGTGAGGAGTTTGATACCAGCCTGGTCAACATAGCAAGACCTCATTTCTACTGAAAAATTTAAAAAATCAGCCAGGTGTGGTGGTACATGCCTGTAGTCCCAGCTACTGTAGAGGCTGAGGTGGGAGGATTCCTTGAGCCTGGGAGGTTGAGGCAAGAGCGAGCCATGATTGTGCCACTGCACTCCAGCCTGAGTGACAGAGTGAGATCCTGTCTGTAAAAAAGAAAAAATGCTGTCATAGAAGGACAATATTACATAGTTTAAAAAATTACAGTATGGCCGTTGAAGTCCTTCTGATGTCTTTACATATTAGCAGTTTAAATATTTGAATACATGAATGAATGAATGGAAGTATTGCTTCAGAAGCGGGTTTAAGAAGTGGAAAGAAGATACTCAGTACTTTGTGGTTTTATTTGGCAAATCAAAATATTGGGTAACATGGTCATTTTTTCAGCTCTTTTATTATTTGTTGGTCCCATGTCTCCTTTTTATTTCTCATTATCCTTTTCCTTACCAAATATATTTTGTTACCATTCGAAAAACTTGTGAGAACACTTGACTTACTCTTGTTCAATTGGAAATACTTCAAACTTTTTGGAACTGCCGTGATTTAAAATTGCCAAGGAAATTGATTTCTACTGGAAAGAGTTCCATGAAATAAGTAGGACATTTCCAAGGGACATTGATCTAATGCTGATTGTAACTCACAGGAAGGGGTTCCAGGTGGATTTTAAGAGCACTTTACAGCTTTGAAACACTTGTACACTTCCACACTTAAATAATTTTCTCTGACTCTGCCTTATATCACCTACAAACTGAGGACTGAACTATTGGGACTGTATTTCTCCCTGATGTTTCTCAGCTCTAAAATTCTAGGGCCTTATTTACATTGGAGAACAAATGGGAAATCTAATAGAATTCCTTAAAAGCTTCCCGCCAATCTTGAGCATTTATCATTCCATGTGTCTTTGCTGTCTTGTATATATTCTTCTTGTTTTTATTATGGATTCTTTGACTTTGCTATGTACCAATATAGAATATGTATTAACTCACTGGTTGGAGTAAAGACAGGCATTTTATTTTTAGTTATAAGATTTTACACAAAAATATTCTGATTTTGGCAATGCATTTTAATCAAGATTTTGGAAAATTGACAGTGTTTTTACACATATGTTCTGTTTTCCTGGGAGGAAGTAGGCTTTTGTGCTTAATCATAACAAGAACTATCTTTTTTTTAACATCTTTTAAAAAATATTTCAAATCTACAGAAAAGTGGCAAGAATAGTGCAATGAACGCCAGTCTGCCATTCAACTAGATTCACTAATTGCTAACATCTCCACATTTGCTTTCTCTTTCTCTGGACAGACACTTTCTTCCGCCCCTGAGTCATTTGAGAATGAATTACAGACATCCAGATGCTTCCCCCCTAAACACCTCAGCATCTGTCTCCTAAGGACAAAGACATTCTCCTATGTAACCACAATGCCATTATCATAGCCCATGTCAAATCTCCCCAGTTGTTGAATAGCATCTTAAATTATCTTTTCTCTCAAATTACCACTTGTGAGCTAAAATCAAATGGGGCGATTATTACATTTCTTGCATCTGGTTTTTTTGTTTGTTTTTTTGAGGCCGCTTCACTGTGTCACTCAGGTTAGAGTGCAGTGGCGCAAACACAGCTCACTGCAGCCTCAACCTCCCCGGGCTCAGGTGATCCTCCTACGTCAGCCTTCCAAGTAGCTGGGACTACAGGCATGTACCACCATGCCCAGATAATTTTTTTTTTTTTTTTTGTATTTCTTGTAGAGAAATACAACATGAGTTTTTGCCGTGTTGCCCAGAATGGTCTCCAACTCCTGGGCTCAAATGATCTGCCCGCCTCAGTCTCCCAAAGTGCTGGGATTATAGGCGTGAGCCACTGCATCTGTATTGAAGAAATGATTTTAATAACTATATGTCATCTTAGTAACGATACATTTGATGAAAGATAACATGTTCTATATAACACACCCATATATTACATATGACATGTGTGTATGTATATATATAAATTATCTCTAAGAAAAACTTTTGGAGCAGTATTGGTTAATAGTCTTTTAGGCTACAAATCTCTTATTTCAAGGGACAGCTTCTGATTAGAATTGGCCCAATGTGGCCGGGCACGGTGGCTCACGCCTGTAATCCCAGCACTTTGGGATGCCGAGGTGGGCGGATCACCTGAGGTCAGGAGTTTGAGACCAGCCTGACCAACATGGAGAAACCTCATCTCTACTAAAAATACAAAAATTAGCCAGGCATGGTGGTGCATGCTTGTAATCCCAGCTACTCAGGAGGCTGAGGCAGGAGAATTGCTTGAACCCTGGAGGTGGAGGTTGCGTTGAGCCGAGATCGTGCCAGCATGGGCAACAAGAGTGAAACTTTGTCTTAAAAAAAAAAAAAAAAAAAAAAAGGGCCCAATGCTGCCTATTGTCAGAATTTATACTTGCAGCCAATGCTAGCAAAACTCGAACCTGAAAAACAGCCTGTGGGGCTTCTTAAGTTTTTACTTGTTCACTTCTACCAGTCACATCTCTTGTCTCTTATTTTTCTCTTTACCCATAGACTTAAAAGCATAAGGGTAAACTTGCACTTGGAAACATGAAAAATCCACTAATAGATACTCTTGTGAAACATTAACTAAAAATATATGGAGATAAGTGATAAATACAGGGTGTGTTCACAAGAGTGCGTTTTGAAACTAGAGAAGGGGGGAAAATGTCAGGCACAAGGGTGGTACTGGAAAAATGGAGAGGCAAAGGTTATTTATCACCTCACTGTTCAATTGTTTGATCTTTGGACAGACTTAATTTTTTCTAGGAAAGCCAAGAGTAACATATCTTAAGAGCTCTGGGCACCACAGGCTTCTGTGGGTTATTCTGCTTGAAGTTGACAGCACGGAGTATCTTGAAAAGCACCTTCAGGAAGAGGGAACAGTGTTAGTACCTGGTCCCTGCAAAACAAAATGGGTGTGAAATGCTATCCATGGGTTCTTACTATCTTTGATCCTGAAGTTTAAAAGAGACCTTGAATACTCAAACGCAACTTTCCCAGAAAGTATAGCTTGCTTGTCACCTGACCTGGTGTCTACCTTCCCTGGACGTTCAGACAAAGTTCACTTCCAACCTTTGCCTGGGCTGTGAGGCTCACTTCTTTTGGGTCAGCCTGTGCTCACCTTCAGCAGTTGAGTTCCCAGAGGCCTCCTGACCATAGCCTATGCTTCTTGAGGGCATATTTTTACCATGGGCAGTGTGCTGACCTAGGCATCCAACTCTCATGGCCTCATTAAATCCTTGCTGCAACTTTATGAAGTGGATGCTGTTGGTCCCCCCAGTCTGTAGAGACATCCAAGGATCTGCTCAAGGTCACATTGCTGGTCAGTAGTAGAGCTGGGATTCAAGTTCAGGCCCAGCCTGCACCCTCAACCACCATGCCACATTCCCCTCCCAGGAGAAGGGCTTCTCTGAGGACAACCATTGTATGTTAACATTAGGACCACAAGTAGTATCACACTTAAGT